TGCTAGTGACCAAAACAGAACAATAGGCATATTTTGGTCGTAAACGTCTACGACCTTCTCACAGAGAAGGTCGCTATAATCAGTTTACGACCGTCAGCTTTTGACCTTCTGTTTTTGGTCACAAAAAGGTCGCAAATGAAAAACTATGACCTTTCAATGACCAATAGTGGAGGTCACAAGATAGCATATTTCTTGTAGTGGTTTTCCATCAGATGTCATCTCTCCATCTTCATTGTAGCGAGGTTTGGCCACAACTGTTAAGAACATTACCTTCCCAATGCTATGAGTATTGTGCACAGTTCGATTTGGTTCTTCTTATCCAGGCAATACGTAGTAGCTACTCTTCACTCGAGTCATGTCATACCACTTCTCATCTATATGGACCATATTTGTCATTGGTTTGAATCTAGGCCAAGGACTTGATATCCATCTTTCATCCATCATGGATAGGTAGAACTTTAGTCTCGTTATCTTGTTTTGTGGCTTGAGGGTGGGTTTGCTGGTGCTCGTGATGGGCTTGAACTCTTGCAACTGAAATATGTCATGTAGGGTTGATCGAGGAACACCTAAACACCTTGCGAGAGAATGGATTGTTCTTCTTTTGTTCGAAGGGATTGTAGTTATTCTCGACAGATCCTTTCCTCTTCCTACCACTGTTATTCTTCTTGCTTGAAACATCAACTTCTTGGCCTACCGCAAGTTGTCTTTTGGCTAGATTCCATATTCTTGTAACTGTTCGCAGGTGAACATTTCAGCATAGTCGCAATGAGCACCATGTCATACAGGTGAACCTGTCCATCTCTAAGCTTGATTACTCGCAGAGCAAAGTAAACACCATATCTCTGCTTGTCTATCAGGTCCTTCCCTCTAGGATTGCTATGTGCGTCAGCTTCTTTAGCTTCTTCCACTTCTGCATCTTCTTAAGCTTCTTCCACTTCTGCATCTTCTTGTGCCTCTTGAGCTTCTTCCTCTTCAGGAAACCAATTCAATTCAATGTCTTCATCCTCCTCTTCCGGGATCAAGTTCAAATCAATAGCATCACCTTGCTGAGCTTGTTCTTCTCGTTGAGCTTCATCTTCCTCTTCCGGGATCAAGTTCAAATCAATAGCATCACCTTGCTGAGCTTGTTCTTCTTGTTGAGCTTCATCTTCCTCTTCCAGGATCAAGTTCAAATCCATAGTTGTGTGCTCCTTTCTGTACTCATAACAAGAGTACAAAATATGAATGGTTAGCATATAATCATAACAAGGGTACAAATTATGAATGTTTAGCATATAATCATAACAAGAGTAGTGCATAGGATATCTTGGTCCAGTAAGATCATTTGCATAATGGATGCTATCTTTATTTTCAATTACATTCATAACACTTTGCTCTAACTTTTTTTTGTTCTCACATGCTTCTACCAGTGGTTATCTAAAATTTATATTGTTTGCTAAAATTTTATAAACAAAACACATGGAAGCAACTCTATACATGATCCATCTAGAGTAATTAATTTGGTACTCCATTTTCTGCTGAACTCACTAATTTGGTACTCCATTTTACTAATGCAAAAAATTTCATTCTTGATGTCTACTACGCAACCTTCTTCTTGTAGACGTTGTTGGGCCTCCAAGTGTAGAAGTTTCTAGGACAATAGCAAATTCCCCTCAAGTGGATGACCTAAGGTTTATCAATCCGTGCACGTGGGAGGCGTAGGATGAAGATGTTCTCTCTCAAACAACCCTGCAACCAAATAATAAAGAGTCTCTTGTGTCCCCAACACACCCAATACAATGGTAAATTGTATAGGTGCATTAGTTCGGCGAAGAGATGGTGATACAAGTGCAATATGGATGGTAGATATATGTTTTTGTAATCTGAAAATATAAAAACAGCAAGATAACTAATGATTAAAGTGAGCACAAACGATATTGCAATGCTAGGAAACAAGGCCTAAGGTTCATACTTTCACTAGTGCAAGTTCTCTCAACAATAATAACATAATTGGATCATATAACTATCCCTCAACATGCAACAAAGAGTCACTCAAAGTCACTAATAGCAGAGAACAAACGAAGAGATTATTGTAGGATACGAAACCACCTCAAAGTTATCCTTTCTGACCGATCTATTCAAGAGTCCTTAGTAAATTAACACGAAGCTATTCTTTCCGTTCGATCTATCAGAGTTTGTACTAGAATAACACCTTAAGACACAAATCAACCAAAACCCTAATGTCACCTAGATACTCCAATGTCACCTCAAGTATCCGTGGGTATGATTATACGATATGCATCACACAATCTCAGATTCATCTATTCAACTAACACAAAGTATTTTAAAGAGTGCCCAAGGTTTCTACCGAAGAGTCAAGACGAAAACGTGTGCCAACCCCTATGCATAAGTTCACGAGGTCACGGAACCCGCAAGTTGATCACCAAAACATACATCAAGTAGATCACGTGAATATCCCATTGTCACCACAGATAAACACATGCAAGACATACATCAAGTGTTCTCAAATCCTTAAAGACTCAATCCGATAAGATAACTTCAAAGGGAAAACTCAATCCATTACAAGAGAGTAGAGGGGGGAGAAACATCATAAGATCCAACTATAATAGCAAAGCTCACAATACATCAAGATTGTGCCACCTCAAGAACACGAGAGAGAGAGAGAGAGAGAGAGAGAGAGAGAGAGATCAAACACATAGCTACTGGTACATACCCTCAGCCCCGAGGATGAACTACTCCCTCCTCATCATGGAGAGCGTCGGGATGATGAAGATGGACACCGGTGATGGATCCTCCCTTCGGCAGGGTGCCGGAACAGGGCCCCGATTGCTTTTTGGTGGCTACAGAGGCTTGCGGCGGCGGAACTCCCGATCTATTGTGCTCCACGATGTTTTCAGGGCACATGAGTATATATAGGCGAAGGAAGTCGGTCAGGGGATCCATGAGGGGCCCACAAGCGTGGGGGCGTGCCCAGGGGGGTAGGGCGCTCCCTGGACCCTCGTGGCCACCTCGTTGCTTCCCTGACGTCTACTCCAAGTCTTATGGATTGCGTTTGTTCCAAAAATAACTCTCCCGAAGGTTTCATTCCGTTTGGTCTCCGTTTGATATTCCTTTTCTGCGAAACACTGAAATAGGCAAAAAAAACAGGAACTTGGACTGGGCCTCCGGTTAATAGGTTAGTCCCAAAATAATATAAAAGTGTATAATAAAGCCCATTAAACATCCAAAACAGATAATATAATAGTATGAATACTTCATAAATTATAGATACGTTGGAGACGTATCAATTCTCTGTATTCAGTTTATAAGAAGAAGAATCTTCAAGGACAACTGTGGCGTAAATGGTTATGTGCTCCTACTCCTCTTTATGAGTTCTTTTAAACTGCCAAATGATAATTTACTGAAGATGCAGAGAAGATGCTAGTAGTATCTCTCACAAGTTAACTTAATCTTGGAAAGTTCACATTATGTGCTCACATTCGATAGTGTGTAATAGTCCTACAAAGGTAATCTTGTAGAGAATAGGCTTAACAACCCTGCTTTTATAGAAAGTTTAATTTTATGCTCAATAGACCAGCAACGTGACTCTACTTCTTTATGTTGTGTAACTAATTAATCCAGAGTAAGAATCTTGGAAAGTAGGAAGGCCTATCTACATGAAGAAGAACTACAAGTGAATGCCCACCATTTTGAAAGCCTTTCCTCCTGTGGGTGCTCTAACAGCTCAAAAAAGTGATGACATATTAAATTCCTGAATAATGTTCTTTTATCTTGAGGAAATTACATAATCAATGTTAGTGCCTGCCTAAAGGGGAAGTACTATGGGGTAAACATTTAGCCAAATGCAAATCAGAGCCGACCTGGATGTTGTTGCTTTAGACTTCAGAGTTGCTTTATTGTTTACATGATTAATCTTCAGAATTTAGCAAGACTTATCGAGCCTTAATCATCATCCAACCACTTAGTCATCATTCCTTATATCATTACAATCTACTGCAATTTGATCTAGATGCAGAGAAGATGCTAGTAGTATCTCTCACAAGTTAATTAGAACAATTAACAGCAAATTGACAGCAACAGTAGATCATAAACTTCTGTGCTTTGGACATTGATTCAGTTAACTTATGTTAACATTCAGTTAACTGATGAACTTTGGACATTGAGGGACACATTCAGTTATGCATTAACTGAGTACTAGCAGGGGAGCTTCTTCTATGTTTGAACTTAATGAACAAGTGCAATGTATAATAATTGGAGCTTCTTCTCACCGGCAGCAGCATGAGCAGGGGAGCTCCGGGCAGCAACACGAGCAGGCCTGCCTGGGACGAGTAACAACTTGCAGACGAGCAGCAGGTCGAAGAGAGGAGTGGGGGGAGACGATAGGGACCTCGAGGTTGAGGATGAGCTTCAATTCCAGGCTCACCGGGAGCTCTAGGTCCAGGCGCTGGAGACCCAGGCGCGGGCAGGTCTTGGCGGCGGCGCAGGCCCTGGCTAGCGGGACGGGGTAGCGGCATAGCCCTGGGTGGCAGAAGGGGTCACGACGGGAGAGGATGACGGCGGTGCAGCGCCCTTCAGCTGTGGAGCCGCCGCCCATCGAGGTGGTTGCCGTGGAGGAGCAGGTGGATGGCGCAGCACGCCTCGGGCGACGCAGGTGGGCGCGGGCGGCGGCGGTTCACAGCGGTGGCACAGACCGCCTCGGGCGGCGGCGGTTCACAGCGGCGGCGCAGGCCGTGGCCGTCGTCACACACTCGGCCCTACGACGGGTGCCGACGGTTGCTTGCGCGACCGACAGAGAAAGGAGGAAGAAGGAGCCGGGGGCTGATTAGCAAGAGATTTGAAGGTGGGAGGTTTTTTTTTGCAAATTTGAAAATGAACTAAGTGTTGGACAACTTTTCCCGGACGGAGGGAGTACCAGGCACAAAATTGACACAACATCATAGTTGCAAATTGCAATATTGCCCAAAACAGACTTTAACAATACAGTGAATTTATCTGTCTAATCAAGTTAGCCATGATTTCAACTTTCCCATTCCTCTCGGCCTTATCCCGATCCCTTCTATGATAATCTGGCACCTATGTGACCTTGTGAACCCTCTAAACACAATGGAAACATTGCTCTCCTTCCCCTCTAGACACTGCTCGCCCAACTCTATGTTAATCTCTTGCTCTATCCATTGTCCATCGCTCCTCATGCCCACTCCATCAGGCGTCAGCCGCTGCTTCTGACTTCGATTTTTCTCCATTGTGTCTGCCGACATCGATGATGATGACGATGGTGATCCATCGAGTTCCCAGCCTCTGTCCCATAACAGAGACCGCGAGTGCTTCTGAGGCACGAGATGGTTGCACTCATGATAGCAAGTGGCCGCGGACGAGGAGGACCCTGCATCTTCTTGGTTTTGGTTCTGAGCCCTGTCTGCGTGCAACCAATGCACCCTGTATATGAGATAGGCCGCATAGCCTCTACCGACGCCCGAGAGGTTCTTGGTGTTCAAGATCACGTCCGCGTCCACCCAGCACAGGTACGAGAGAACCGCCACCTCGCGGAACCTACAGGACGAAATAGTAAGGCTCAGTTGAAATGTTGTGCTGCGGCCTAAATAATGCAGCCTAAGGTATTTCCACGAAAGCGAAACCTGGAGTGAGGGTGGCAGCGTGACCAGACGAGTCCTCCGTAGTGGTAGCCACAACACCCGTACCACAGAGCTTTCGCTGGTACCATGTACTTCTTGGCCCCGCTACGCCTGTCCAACGATAAGCTCTTCTTGCCCGGCCGATTGACGCCATTGTCAGACGAGATCTCTTGATACGCACATGCATTTTCAAATTATGACAACAGCAATTACCAGCTTGCCGCCATCCAGGAGGACAGGGCAGTCGCAGAGTCGGCAGAAGAGCTCCTTCTTTGTTTCGCCTTCCCGGCAGTGCTCATCGCCGGCAGTACTACACCGCGCGAGGATGTCGACGCAGTCGGCTGGGAGGAAGCTTCCCCAGACCTCGTCGAAGTCGGCAGCCGCCCGGAGAGCCTGGGTGGTGGCCACCAGCCTGCAGGCGTCGCCGGGGGAGGTCAGGGAGGCGACGAGAGTTTTTGTCTAAAAAGACCACCTGTCGAGTTGAATTGTCAAAAAAGACCGCATCTGAAACAGATTGACAAAAAGGACCAGCAGCAGCGTGGCGGCAGGTGCGGCAGCCGACACATGGCACCTGCCGCCACAGACGCCGGCGGCAGCCCCTGCCGGCACGGGCACAGGCGGCAGCTTAGGCTTAACAGGTTTTCTCGTCCGCGCGTCAGCTGCAACGGGATGGACCGAAGTGATGAGCCATGCCGCCACGCAGCAAGGCGGCAGCTACTGAGGCTGCGCGCGCTGCGACGGGCCAGGTGGCCATGCCGCTTTGTTTAATCGGGCTGGGCTATTGTTTAGTGTAGCCGCATAAGTACGGCGGACTGACTCGAGTTGTATGAACTGCCGGCCGGAAAAAAACGATTCTATCCATTAACCCACGTTAACCCAAGTACTAGTTTTTCCAAGTTGATATGCATTTGAATGGGTCCGAGCTGCAGCTACCGCGTGACAAGCTACGTTACGCACTGGGTGCCGCCTCTGGCCGTGGCGGCATGGCCCGGTGCACGCGCAGCAGAGCTGCAGCCTCGCTGCGTGGCGGTCCGTCCCGTTGCAGGTGACGCGAGAAAACCTGTTAAGCCCGGGCTGCCGCCTGCGCCCGTGGCGGTAGGGGCTGCCGCCGGCGTCTGTGGCGGCAGGTGCCACGTGTCGGCTGCCGCACCTGCCGCCACGTTGTTGCTGGTCCTTTTTGTCAATCTATTTTAAAGGTGGTTTTTTTTGGCCATTCAACTCGGCAGGTGGTCTTTTTAGACAAAAATTCAGGCGACGAGGGCGAGGCAGTCTGCCGGGAGGTCGCAGATGCCCATCTCGGTCTCCGTGCGTATGCATTAATTAATCGTTTGCCTCTGGAAGCGATGATAAAGACTTACACAAGGATGCTTGCACATGGTGATCACGGTGTTGCCAACATGACAACATCTCCTGCTCTGCTCTGCTACTGACCTATGGCTATGGCTGGCTGTGGCCACATAATGACGACATTCCTGAAGCCAATTTTGGTAGCACACGTAATTAGTGGACTAGTGTAATACGTACTCTTCTATTCTCTGATTGGGCAAACATAATTTTTGGCCCCATGGTTGAAGAGAAAGAGAGAAAAAAGTGACAAAATATAAAACTAGATTGAAAGAAAAGTATAATTGCTGGATCATAAATACCTTCTAAACCAAAACATTAAAATGAAGATACATAATCCATTATAAATTAAGATTTGATTACAAATATAGTATAAACTTGGTAAGGAGAAAATTTCCACTAGGTGCAAGCAGCTGTTTGGAAAACTCATTTTATTTCGGTGACAAATCTTACTGAGTTGCCTTTTGTTTTTCGAAGGATTTCTGAGTTGTACCTGATAGGGTGGAACTACTCATCTTGATTAATGTGGACCCAGATTAATATACCATTTGGATATAAAATCCAGAAAATGCTACATTATTTAGTTGTAATCACTCCTCAAAATACAAGGTCTATTTTTTTCAGAAGTCAAATATTTCAATGTTTGACCAAGTTTGTAGAAGAATTAACATATACGTACAATATAAAATAAATAAATTATGAAAATATATTCCATGATGAATCTAATGGTACTGATCTGGTATCTTGTATATTGACATTTCTCTCTATAAACTCAATCAAACATAGAGAAGTTTGACTTTTCAAAAGCTAATGCACCTTATATTTTGGACTGGCAGGAGTATTTGAAAGGGGCAAAACCGTAGACTCAAACACACATAGAAGCCGTTCGGGCTGCAGTGTGTGGTATTCATGAGCCATTGCAGCTGGAAGCCTGGAACTCAACCATGATGAGCCCGAGCCATGGCAAGCCGATTCTCACCAGGTCCAGCGTTGGGATATGAGAATCGGTAATGACGTACCCCATTTGTATTCGGTTATGTATGTGGACGGCCGCTTCCTTACCGGTGCAATTCAAAGGCCATCGTCGTGGTGGTATTTGGGATCCTCCATTGTTGCAAAGACTGATGGGGGAGGAAGATGAAGGAAAGCCATCGGATTGCAACGGACGGCAGATACGTCTGGTACAGCACTGGTACAGTAAGTACTTGACTGTAGAGGAGCGTCCATTACTGGCCCATGAACAACTAGGCTGAGCTGACTATATGATTTATTATGATAAAATACATCCCATATTATGCTCCACCATTTCCTAATTTGCAACCAAATATATTTATATTTTATGATAGGAAAATAGCAATGTGGCAGGATCTCATGAGTTAATTTGAAGCCATCCATGCCATGTTTACTATTTTGGGAGCGGAAAATGAGGCTCTAGATGAGTATTGCAAATTGTCCAAATGAAATTTTAAAGTGAAGAAGACTACTATAACTTCTATAGTGCATATGCTAAAAAGAAAGGGTTCAATGTTAGGAAGGATATCGTGAGGTGTGAGAAAAAAATAGGAGAGATTTTCTATAGGAGATTTGTTTGCTCAAAGGAAGGGATTCGTGATCCAGCCACGAGGGACATCAAGGACCGAAAAAAGGAAAGAGCTGAGACTCGAGAGTATTGTGGGGCTGAGAATCTGGTTTGTGGACAATTTTGTAGATGGCCATAACCACATATTAACAACTCCAGATGAATCCCGATTTCTTTGTTCCCATAGGAAAATCAAAGCCATCCAAAATCGGAAATAGTAATGATTGAATCGATGGGCCTCTATAAGCATCACATAATGGATGTCTTTCAGTGCACGAGTAGTGACAAAGTGGGCTCTGGATTTATCGATAAGGACCTGTTCAATTTCTCATCTAGGTACAATAGTTCCAGAATTGCGGATGGAGATGCAAATGCTACAATATGGGCGTTGAAGGCTAGGAAGGATAAGGATCCAGGGTTCTTTTTTGAGTACCGAGTTGACAAAGAAGGTCATCTGAAGGACTTGTTCTGGTGTGATGGGCAGTCTCGGATGGATTACCGGTCATTTGGTGATGTTGACGTGTTCGACAGCACATACCGGATGAACAGGTACAAGATGCCTTTTGTTCCATTTGTGGGACTTAACCACCATCGCCAAACCACCATATTTGGATGTAGTATTATGTCTCATGAGTGTGCTGACTCGTACATTTGGGTGCTTCTTACTTTTTTTAGGGCGATGTGTCAGGTAAAACCAAAGTCTGTAATAACAGACAGTGACAATGCAATGATCAAAGCAATCTGTCAGGTACTTTCAGGAACAAATGATCATGTATGCTCTTGGCATATTGAGAAGGGAATCAAGAAGCATCTTCACTTCTCATACCTCGACTTATTCAGGTCATTCATATATGAGGTTTGCTCACCTGATGTCTTTGGGACAAGCGGAATGCATTTGTTGGGAAGTACCAAACTAGTAGGAACCTGGGCAGGTTGAATAGAATGTATAGAAAGAGGAGGTTGTGGGCTGCGGCTTTTTTGTGCGACAAGTATTTCATGTCCATGAAAACTGACCAACGGAGCGAGAGTCCGAATTTAGTTTTGCAGCTACATCTCAATGGTTACATCTCCTTGTTTGATATGCTACAACACTATGAGGTATGAGTTTGCAACATGCATCGTAGAGAGGCATAATCTGATTTTGTGGCATCACAATCTTGGCATGTTGCTGTTACGGATATTCGTAAACTTGAAGAGGTTGTAGCACGTATTTTCATGTTTGCTAATTTTCAGCAAGTTCAAGAAAAACTACAGAAGGTACACATGTTTGATGTTGGTGAGGTAATTCTTGAGGGAAACTATACGAGATATAATTTAATTTCTAACATCATACCTGGACGAACATTCTCAGTTGAGTACACATGTTTTAGGGCTCATTCCGACATCAAATGTAGTTGTCGAAAGATAGAGCGTGATGGCTTATCTTGCAAGCATATTTTCCTTGTGCTAAAGCATGTTGGGATGCCACATGTACCCAAGTGTTGTGTGTTGCAGCAAATGTCCAAAAGTTGAAAGGTGGCCTTCCTTCGCTTAGGCATAGTGATTTGAATATTTAGACACGGAAGCAAGCACAGTATAATGAGTTGAGATCACTAGGTCTGAGTTGTTTGACATGGTATCCAACAGTGATGATAACTTTGTGGAGGTGAAGTAATATCTTCTTAGTCAGTTGTCAAAGAAGAGAAACTGTTCCAAACCAGTCAATGATGCCCAAGCACATGGAAATAAGAATATTGGAAGTGGAGCTATTCCCGAGCCTCGACGTTCGACCCTAGATCCCTTATGTGTAGTCACCAAGGGTGCGCCTAAAGGAAGATTGAAATCATTTGATGAAAATCCAAAACCAAGACAATGCGGTCGATGTCGCAAACCTGGTCATGATAACCGTACGAGCCCTGATGCAATGCAGCAACAGTAAGTTGTTGCTATAGGTTGAGTTATATCAGGTACGAATTTGTATTTGCATTTTGTAATTTCTTTGTTGCGCTAACATTGTGTAGCATAGGTCTCATAACTTCCATATTTAATTTTTTTTGTCTTCTTGAAGGATCACTTGACCAAAATAACTGAACTTGTGGAAGGAAGGCCATCATTGTGTTTACTGATACCACATAATATGTTCATTCTATCCAATCGGTATTTGGTAATGGCATTAGGGACAACGTTTCTGTAAGTGCTGCGCTCTGACTAAGCTATCATTATCTTCTGTTTTTCTTTAGATGTTTTGAACATGAATGCACCTGTGACTCTGACTTTTCTATCGATAACTTTCTTGTTTAGATGTTGTAAGCATAACTGCAAGTGTGACCTGGAAGAAACAGAACCGTGGCTTCCCAACCTGGGTTGTTGTTAGACTAGTAAGAAAGGTACTGTTGCGGCAAGATGTGTCCCTTTTGATCTCTGGTCATAATGCAGATGTGGGTCTTGAAATCTATTTCTTTTTTCAGGACAGGGTTTGGAAATCTTCTTAACCTGACGGATGAGAGAGCGGAGTTGCATACCATTAGGCTGTGCAAACGAACGTAGCAGTGTGCTGTGCAGGTAAGAACGTGCGGCATTCGGCGTGCCGGCTGGCTAAGACTAACACGCATAAGGGCATGTACAATGGTGCTATCTTAGGAGTGCCACATAGGATAGATGATGAGGTGGAGGAGAGAGAACACATAAAAAAAGGCTTGTCTTCTCTTATTTAAGAGAAGACAAGAGGTGATCTCTTAGCACAATATGTCTCACCACATTTTTAGGAATTACTAGTTATTGAAGATAAGGCTAAGAGATGACCCATTGTAGACAAAAAAATTTGTCATCTCTAAATCACATGCAAGACTTAAGATAAGACTATCTTATCAACCATTGTACATGCCCTAAGGGCTAAAGAACCGGACCAGCTAGATAATAGGATGAATGCTATTTTTCTATTCTGGAAGTTAAGCTTGAGCATGTTCAAGCCCGTCCCCGTTTGGTAGACTCACGTTGCCAACATAATATTTTAAAGTACCACCGTACCACCCGTTTTTCTGGGAGCCAAGTGCAGTCCTTATCCACCACATCATGTTCCCAACAGAATTTTTTAAAGTACCACTGTACCACGGTTTTTTTTACTAGGAGAAAGCACAATCCTTATCCACCATGTCCCGTTGTTGTTGCTAACTAACTAACAAATTGAAGATAAATCCACTATCCTAAAATCTATAACGTAATTTAGAGGTTGGCATATATTGCTACACCCCACGCCATTATCTCATATTTCGAGGCACGCAGGAGTCTTGTAAGTTTGTTGTTCGGCGAAATCCTCAGCAGAACCTCGGACGCTGAGTAGCTTCTCATATATGCACTGTAAGTTTTCTTGAACTTCCCTCTCTTTTATCATTT